GACTGCCTCTCCCCGATTTCATCTGCCCATCCTACCAGATCCAGCAGAGAGGCCATGTTACGGGTTCGATCTCCTAGGGAGATACATTTGGCAGGCCCCAGACGGCGGGCCTTTTCTGCTGTCGTGCCTGTGCTGTGGAATCTTCTCCCCCCTGAGGTGAGGCTGGACTCATCATTGTTGACCTTCCGGAGATCCCTTAAGACTTGGTTATGCCAGCAGGCCTCGGGACTCCAAGGGACAGGAGAATTAGTGAGATGGCTCCCTTATTTTTAACTTCCTTTTATTCTCTGTTTTATTGTTTTATATATTTTTAATGTATTTTACTGTTTTTAGCTTTGTTGTATGCCGCCCAGAGTCACCTGTAGTAAGATAGGCAGCTATATACATTGATTTAATAAATAAATAATATAAGCTGTTTTAAGTGTAAGTTTTAGTTCAATAATCTTGAGGTGACAAGAAATTAAAGTACTTAGAAGTCTTACAAACATTCCATTAGTTCAGGCAAACTGTATAGAAGTTTATTTAATATTTTAAATTTTAACTTGCATTGTAGTATTGTTTTTCTTCTGGTTCCTTTGACACTTACAGCACTGATCCTTTGCAGTTTTCCCTCAAATATGTGAAGCTGGATGTCATAATAGTCATCACATGGATCAAAGAAGATTCCCATACTTTATTTGCTTTTGATTTAAAGCAAGCAATAATGGAACAGAAACAATTCTCTTGTATATCAGCACTTGGCATAGAAAAAAAATTTTTTTTCCTTTTGGTGTTGAGTTATAGAGGGGCTATACTTAATGATATACTGTAAAAGATGACACTACTTTTTAGTGGCTTATTGTAAGTGAATTTATAATTATGAAGACGTAACTTGGATTGGATGTAACATAGCACTATGTAACAAAACTCTTGAAAACTTGATTTTATTTGCAAAAGACATAGTTTGCCTATGGAAGTGACATCAAAGAGCCACAACCAAGATGGAACTCCATATAAATGAAGGGGTAAATCAGAAGTAACATAAGTTAATTCATGATAAACTAATAATTATTTTAAATGGAAATATGAAGAAATACATACTATATTTCTGAAAGGCAATATATTCAAAATAAATGTGAAATGTTATGTGATACTTGTTTGAAAGTCACTGGAACAGAATTGGAGAATATAAATAAGTTGTTTTCATTCTTCTTCCCTTCCTGTGAGTTCATTACTTAACAGTCAGGAGAAATATGTTAAGACTGGGGTTGTTTCTCTAAATGATTAGGAATATATTGCTATACAAACTCAAATACTTGTCTAGAGAATCAAATAAGCCTAATAAGCTTTTCCTTCCCTTTGGCAAAGGACTTATTTGGGGCTTATGGAATGAGGATAATTTGCATGCACCTTCTAAGTTCAACATGGACTTGGGAATAAGCACAAGATGGGGATAACAAGGCTTGCTGCTCCTGGGGCTTGCAAAGTTAGAGACCTCCATTTTTCGGTAGTTGTAATACATTGTGCATGAACAACCCTTAAACTAAGAACGTTTGGGCTGTTTAATAAGGTAGCAAAAAGGTTCTGCATTGTATAAACACATTAAATCTTTTTTAAATTTCTCTAATTCCATGTCCAGATGGGAGATTACACAGGATATCATAAGTAATGCTGTATAGCACATCCAGTTTCTCATACAGTCTTGCTTCATCAGAAAATTCAAGAGTGAAAGCACAAAGTAAAATTTTGCTAAATTATAATGAATAAGATAAACTAAAACCACCAAAGTCATATCCTACCTGGAAGGCAATTACGTTTCTTAAATTATTGCTAAGGACTAATTCTCAAGTTTTATCTCCATGTTTAACAAGTCCTTAAAATGCAAACATGCATATTATGAACCCTGATTCATTCTGAGCAAGAAATACCCTTCATCAATACTACCAGTATCCTTTGTGTTAATAAATGAAACATATAACCCAATATAAGTTTGGTAACTATATATTTAAAATTTAAAATGTTATTTTAATAAAATAAATAACTCTCAAATCTGTCTAGGGAAACAGTTAACACGGCAAAGCCAACTGTTTTAACAATTTAGAGCATGATCTAGTCATTTTTGCATATTTGCATCCTCTCCCTTCCTTACATACTGTTATTGTAAATGAGTTTTCTACTGATGATACACAATTTTCTCACCAACCCTCCTGTGGCAAAATCTGAATTATCAAGCACTTACACATGCCCACTGGTGTATATAAGCAATCAGCTAGATGTGGTACTTTTTCAATATATCTCAGTGCAGTAAGTACAAGCATAGTGAAACACAGCTAGAAATTGAGTGGTAATAATTCTAATTATAACAAGATTAGGTTATCCAAGCATGTTAATATGATATCCAGATATACCAAGCCAACTAACATACCACCACAATCAATCAAACTGTCTTAGATTAAAAATACTTCTGCTGTTTTAAGTGACTTGTGAAGTATATCTTTTGGAAAAGTTCACAATTAAAATGTATTGTGAAATCAATTGTTTACAAGCTCCTAATAATCAAAGACTTAGAAAATCAGTTTTCTTTAGGTCAGATCTCAAGGCAGTTGCTCCATAGGACTCAAATTTACCTATATCACTGGCGATACAATATCTATAGATGGGTACATATTGTTATTTCTGGAAACATGGAACTCAGACCAAAATTCAGAAGATTTTTGTTCCTCTTTAATGAATGACACAAATTTCAATCTATTTTGTTGATACACAAAACAAAATACACAAAAATAGAACTTTCTGTTTCTGCCTATAAAAAAACTGTTCAAACACTTGCAACTTACATTACACATTAGGTGGTCTAGTGTAGTGCATAAACTTGCATAAATCACTTTCCAGCTTTTGTTCCAGTGGTGTCTACGGAGCAGGGAGTACATGGTCAGATTGATGAAAACAACATTATGGCATGGTGCTGCAATGTAATGTAATGTAAAGTTGTAAAGGCTCATCCCTTTTCTATAGGTGTTATAATATTGGGGACACCACTACTTAATTCCATCTTTAACATACAGATTTAGCCTTCCAATTTGTAATTCACAAATAGCAGAGATGGATGGCTACCTACTTAAACTGTACTAAAAAGTGTTTAGACAAATTCACTGAGAAGGAGATTATTCATGGCTACTAACTGTGATACTATTTATTTAAAAAAGTAAAGACTCCATTAATCAAGCTCAAATTCTGATGATTTATGGACACATTTATATAATTTTTTTGGCACAATACAGAAGTGGTTTGCCATTGCCTTTTTTCTGGGATGTGTTTTCAATTTCCATGTCTAACCTACAGCCATGGGTTTTCCTGGTGGCTTCCCATAAAAATACCAAGAGTGCGCAGAACTACAACCATAGAACTTCTGAAGCATTGAGAATGGCCCTTCCCGAACTAAACACATCACATCATGGAACACTTCACATGACCTTGTAATGTATCACCTACAGTATCACACCTATTATGTTTTTCAACACCAGTTGCTGGAGATCAACAGTGGGAAATTACTATTGTGCTCACAACCAAGTTGTGAGTTTCTCATCTTACTGGCCCCCATGAAAACATAATACTTGATTATATGTGACATTGGTTTAATTATCACACTTTATCATTTTTAATTATAATCTTAGTTTTTTTCTTTATAATCTTAATGTCTGCTTTATAATCTTAATGTCTGCAAGACTTGGAGGTGTGAAAATTATTCTTTTTTTCCATGTCTCCTATAAGAAAGTTATGAGAAACTCTACTCTTTCAAATTCTTATAAAGAATAGCAACAGTAGTGGCTGGGAAGGAAGAGTAAGGAAAAAGAAAAAGTGAAAAGGCTAGAAGTTAGCAATATAGTCTGCTAAATTCCAGCATCATTCTTCAGATCATAGGCATTTATGGGGCATATCAAGGGGAGCAAATTATGAAACACGTGCCACAACACAAATCACATGACTTACGCATGCATCTGAAATTAGAATGCAACTACAAAAGACTCACATCATGATTCATGTTTTGACATTTTTGTATAATTAAGATTTGTACCAGATACCTATGCTTTCAACTAAAAATCGCAATAAAAACTAAATCCTCATTTAGCAACTACCTCGGAGAGCAACTATTTGCAGTTACGGCGATGATGAAAAAGTAACTTTGTGGCCAATGCCTACATTTATGATCTTCACAGCAAAACTCGGTGACCTTAATTAGTTGATTAGAATCCTCTGGTGGGCTGGTGCTAAAGGCTTTCTTTTGCCACCTAAGCTGCACACTACTGAAGCAGCCAGTGCTAGCGCATTCTTTTTGATGCATATTCCCCATTGTGTGCCTGCTTACTCTCTTGTAATCCCTTCCTCTCCAATGAATGCAAATAGAAATATCAATTCCCTTCTTGCTAATTATCCCCCTGCTGGAGTAAGCATTCCAAAGGGCGGGGGAGTGTGGGGAAAAAGGGCTATAAGATTTGCCCTTTTATCTGGCTTCTTTGTGAATCAAGTTCCGGTAATCTTCCCTGCCACTGGAGCTCATTTGGCTGTTTGGGGTTGTATCCTTCTGATGATGTAAAGCAATGAAAGGATGAAGTAAAATCGTAAGCACAGTTATGGTCATGTGATTTTTAACTTAGTGATCATTTTGCTTAATGACCAGGTTCCAGTCCCAACTGTGGTCGCTAAATGAGGACTATGTGTACAGTTTCATGACTTGTATTTGTCACTTGTAAGGTGACATTGTCATTTTACACTATTCAGAAGAATACTGTTATCTTAGATACTGATGCTATCTTGGACAGATATTACATATACATCTCATATGCATCTCAAAAAATTTCTAGCTTGAAGCATCCATATTACTACCAACAGCAACATAACCTATAGGTTCAAATATCATGCAGAAAGCTTCCACCTATCAGCTCTTCATCGGTCAAGTTCCCTTTTTTCCTTCTCTGACAAAAGGCACATAAATAAATAATAATACAAAATGTAGTGCTTACCAGGCCACCACAGATACTGAAGACTGCAGTGTGTATTTCCTGTGCATTAACATGTCCACGATAGAAACAATGGTGCAGGTCTGAGGCAGAATGTGTTTTTATATTTCCCAGGTGCACCTCAGTGTAATGAGGAGCAATAAAACTGGTATCAGCACTTAAATTCAGCAGGAAAATGTGTCCATAGGCGCTAAACTGATAATGGCTTCTGAAAGGAATGGGTTCCAGTAGTGTTTCCATGCTCCTTTTCCTCCTTTTGAAGTGGTGAGTGTGAGGGAAAGCTTCTCCAAATTCATTTACTCGTACAGGTGTCACTATTTCATATGATGACAGATGTTTCACCAAAGTCTCTGCAACCAACACATAAAGGAACAATCTTTCAAAATACAATGAATATCTGCATTCTAAAGCTTATAAAAGACATCAGGTAAGGCTGCTTTTTGACTTGGTGAATTAGTACTATCCAACTTGTGTACAGGTATGTGTGTTTTAATGCATACACTCACAAATGCTGTGTTTTACCCATTACTTGCACTTGTATACCACTATTTTCTTTTTCACCCTAAATTAAATTGAAGCTGTACACATTCAATAAATAGTACCAAACATCAAAACAAAGCTTTACATATAAGATTATTTCCAACACTGCATTTCTTTGACTTATTTTGACAAGTGTATGTGGAGAAGCAAATACAAAATGTTAAAATGTACTCCACACTGTGAGATTAGAAAGCCAAAATAAATGTCTCCAATTCACGCATGTCCGATCTTTCCAACAGTACAAATGTGTTTTTTGTAGATTTTCTGCATCTTTTCCCATGGAAAAATTCAAGTATGAATAATGAAAGGATCTCATATGTTATATAATGTTAAATCACTGTCAAGTTGTTGATCTGTCCAGTCCACACACAAAAAGTCCAATTACAAATAACAGCATTCAGAGTTTGATCCTAGTGCACCCAAGTCTTAACTGCTGTCTAGCAACTGAAGATTGGGACCAGTCATCTACTGTACTGACAAAACTGCCCAGTCTAACTTAGGCTAAGTCTAAAGCTGGAAAATGGTTAGCCCTGAAATTTATATATGAATTAATCATACTCGCGGGAACTTCAATTATTTTATTATTCAGGACAATACTTTATAATAGGATAGGTATAATTTCAATGGAAAAATAATCGAACCGAGGACAAAAGTGAACGCACGGAGCCCACAATCTCTATTTTAGGAACTGAAAGCAACCAGTTAAGCGACTTCTGGCCACGCTTCACAGCTGCCCGCTCCCGCACGTGCAAAGCTCTCTCCCGTAACGCACGCGCGCTTGCCTCATGTCGCCACTCCACGCCAGCGCCGAATGCCCGGGTTCCTAGAAAGCTGCTGTTGGCAGCTGGGCAAATTTCAGCGTCGGGTACCCGAGCGTTTGTGCGCACGTATACACATTTATGCTCTCCGTTCGAGCACGCTTTTACCTTGCTTGGGGTGCAGACGAACTTCCCACGTCTTGGTGGCAAGAAGGGAGAGAAAATACAGCAGAGGCGCCAACCCCTCCGGAACCCGCATGGTCTCCCCACTTTCCTCTGGAGGAAAACCTGCACCTTCTCCCCGTCGCCGTGGCTTTGCTCGCGGCGACTATGTTGCCTCAGCGACTACAGCCTCCCCTTGGCTGGGCCGACTCCGGAGTGCGAGGTTTATGCATGTTCCTGTGGCGCCCACCCTGTTCTCTCTTGCCTTCGCGGAGTCCCCTTCTCCTCCTTCCCGCTCCCGCTCGACCTGTCCGCGCTGTGCTCGCTTCTGCCTGCTGCCAGCCCTCCAGACTCGCTCTCTCTTCAGTGCCACACAAGAAAGAAAGAGTGGCAATTTCGCTGACTCTGTGACTACCCCGGGACCCCCAACATCAAAGAATCTGCCCGCCCCCTTGGGGCAGGGAACTCAGCAGCGATTGGAGGAGTCTGACGTTCCCTACACGCGCGCACACATACTTGATGTTCTGCGGCTTCTTACACAGAGGCGTAACAGACTTCAGCCCTGCGGCCGTTTAATCTGACCGTGTTAGATACTCCTTCGTTTATTTTAGGTCAAAGATGCAGGCCAGCTACAGGGCAAGCAAAGTAAGAGAATACAAAACCCCTTTACGTGCTCAGTTAAAAAGTTCTTACAAGAATTTATGAAAATCCAGCCTGGGTTGCTGAGGTTCTAGGTTTTCTCACCAAAGTCAGATTAAAAACTTTCAACCCTAAACAGCTGTAGTAGGATTCCTTTTAGGGAGACCAATTCAGCTGTGAACTTTACTTTTAGTGAGGTTGATTTGGTACTACCTGGAGATACATGTATAAAACAGTCCTTAGAAATCTTTACTATTGGCCTACATTTTCAAACTCCAAGTTCTGTTTTGTTTTAATTTTAGCAAAAAGTATTAAATTTCATGTGCTCTCTTTTTTATAAATGTCATATTACTGTAAATCACTGGGATTTTAGGAAGGCCTCTTGGGTACAGGTCTAATGGATGATATCAAAATGAAGACAAGTATCTAAAACTGTTTGCATTCAGACATTTATAGCATTGTTAGAGACTCAGTATTTTAGCCAATTTCCTTATTAGAATGCTTCATATAGCAAGTAATAGAACCGCCTTCCCAAATGTGGTGCCTTCCAGATGTGTTCGATCCATTCCCACTGTCCACTGTGCCAGTATGGCTGTTGGTCATGCTTGTTAAGGATAATGGGAACTGAAGTAAAAAACATCTGGTGGATATCAAGTTGGAGAATTTAGAGAGTAAGATTTATCTTTCTTATTTTAAAAAATATGTAGCCACAGAACAGAATTTCAAAATCCCCTAATTTTTTTTATTCTTTAATTTTCAAATTTTGCATTGATAATACAATAATAACACCAATAATAAAAGCCTTTATTATGATCAGGTCATGCACACATAGTTCTGTGGCAAGAGGTACAGAGCTTGGGGGAAAAAATTAAAATATTATTAGACAAATTGTACAGAATAAGAGAAAGTGGGCTAAAATATTAAGGGTGGAAATACTAGGCTACAGAAGAAAATAAAAATTAAAAGAATTAAAATTAGAGAATAACTATTAAATGGATACAGTCTTAGATATCTCAGCTACTAAAACACCAAAATCATGATTTAAATTTGCTAAAACGTTAAGAAGTATGAGAAAGAATCCTAGATAAGTATGATTATAAAGAAGAGCTGTGCATAGACATGGTTTAATATTCTCCCCAAAGTATTTCAAGTATGATCATGAGAAGTGGTATATGCAGTGATTATACAATTCATGGAGAAACAATGGTAATTGTGCAACACTTTGCTACATAGACTTCATCCTCAATTTACTAGCTAAAAGGAAGAGAACAAGATCATTGACTTCTAGATGTCCACATAACTTGGCCAGAAAGAAGAGATTGGGTCTTTGAACCATGGGGAATAAATGGGGCAGTGAAAAAAAAAAGTAGGCAATTGATTCAACTGCCCTCAACAGGCAGGGCAAAATATATTCCTGAAGAAGAGTGCTATGGAATTATAAGAATGCTGATATATCTATCTGAGATAATATAAATTGATTTAAAACAAAGGACTTTCTAATCAAAGATTCTTTGCTTCACCTCTAATCAGGCATAATTAAAATTCAATGTACTCAAATACTATAAAAAGAGGTCCCATGTACAGCAAATTACACTGGTCCAATCAAGAGGTGACCAACGCATGAGTGACTGTCTGTAGGCCTCCTGGTCCAGGAATGGGTACAACTGGTGCAACAGATGAACCTATGCAAAGGCACTCATGGCCACAGTTGCCATCTGCTCTTTGAGTAGGAGCTATGAGTCCAAGAGAATCCCTAGATTGTGCACTAGTCTGTCAGGGAGAAGTGCAACCCCATTAAAAACTAAAGATGGAATGTCCTCATAACAGGGAGGTCAAACAAAGCCACTTGGTCTTGTTAGGATTGAGCTGAGTTTGTTCCTCCCCATCCAGGCCCATATAGCCTCTAGGCACTGGGCAGGACTGACAGCATCATTTGATGGCCAGGCTTGAGATGTATAATTGGGTACCATCAGCTTGTTGATGATGCCTGACCCCAAACGAACAGATGACCTCAGCTGATTTATGTTGATGTTAAATGAAATGATCTTTGTCTTCCTCCAACAACATTCTAGGTCTCTCTTCTTGTGCTTCCTGTTCCTGATTCCTTGCTCAGAAAACCAAGGGGCACCCCAGGATCAGCACAATAGGCTTCATATGGTCCAAGGCCTCTGCAACTTGTCCATTCCAGGCTGTAGCCAAGGCCCCTGCCAGACTGCCTACCAGATCCTTGGGGAACCCCCCCCCGAAACCAGCTGGACTATTTATTTATTTATATAAATAAATAAATGTATCAGTTACATATGTTATCTGTAGGTCTGCATTGTTAATTGAAAGGCAACCTTTGGATTTCCCGTGATTAATATTCTTTATCTTTCACATTTTATCAAGCTGTACAACCAAAAGGCATATAACAAAATTCTAAATAATTTGTTTTAATAGATTAAAACATTTTCAAAGCAAAATTTAAAACTGTTTTCCTACAATGATCTGTAGAACTTTCAGAAAAGAAAAGTTTATATCAGTTAGCTGAAACTAGTGATTAAGGTGGCTAACAGATGGCTAGGAGGCTAAGGAAGAAATTTCAAAAATGTACTGATATTAATGAGGCTCCATTCCAGAGTATAACAACTTACATGTGCCATTCTGCACATAGTAAGGGTGATAATAAAGAACAAAATTAAAATAATTTAGATTTGTTCTCAACTACTTCTATATATGAGCAGTTGAGAACTGACAGTCCACAAGCAATATATGGTGTATTGGACTTTCACGATTACACTTTCCATTCCCATGCCCCAACTGAGAAAATAGATAATAAATGGAAATGTAATTTCATTCCTTGTTTCCACAAAATAGCAACAAATTAGAAATTCGTTGCTTTATAACTGATTTTACTGGAAAGTAATATAAAAATGTTTATTATCTTTATTTATAAAACTGAATTCTTACTATAACTTGGAGCAAAATGATGAAATCAACAAAGTATTCCAAATTATGCCATCCTGAAAATATATAGTCTAGTGGTGAAACATCCTCTGTTTCCTAAAATCTGAATATGTGTTCTAGTTGCTAACAAAGAATTGCCTTTGTAAAATAAGTAAACTGAATCCATCCATTACACTGTTGAGTAGAAATGTATGGAATGATACATGAATGCCAGCTTATTCAAAAGCCAATAAATCAGAAGGCAAAATCTATGCTTACTCATACTTTTTCCTTTCAGTTTAAGTTTCTATGCCTTTTCAATAGTGATGTATACGGTTATGAATGTCATGGAGATTCCCACTTAAAATTCCCCTACTGTATTACAATGATACCATTGTATCCTATTACTCAGCCCCTTAGCCATAGCAGCACTAAGGAAAAAGTCTTCTGGAAAAAAATCTTAATTTCACTATCATATTATTGTACATCCATTCATACTCGCAATTTTATTGAAAAATTCTACAACTGATTTAAAATATGAATCATTTTGGATCTATGTTTATTTTCAGCACCTGTGGCATGCTGGTAGAAGTACTTCTAGTTCTATTCTTTCAGAAAAGGGCAATTTAAAACTGAGTTTCTAAAGTGTTGCTACAATGAGGGTAGGAAAAAAATCACTTTATGCAAGTAGGGAAGAATCAAATAATTTATATCTGTTGGTGTCCATAATACTTACATGCCTATCACACTACAGTACTGTTTCAGAATAAACAAGATTACACTATGCAGACAAAAAGAAAAAGTGATAAGCAAAATGAATTGGAGGCAAGAAATATGAGAAAAGGAAATCTAACAATTGATTTGTGACCTATACCATTTGCTGTACTTCTCCATACTCCTCTATCATTATCAATCACCCTTACTTCTATAAGCCTCTCACCTCTTAATGACAATACAAATTTAGTAATAGTTAAATTAGCCAGTTCTTGATATTTAGGCAGTAACTAAGATAGAATTAGCTTCAGAAGGAAATGCAGAATCAGTTGAAATGGAACTTATACTTTTAAAACAAATTTGGGGGGGGGGGCAGTGAGAATGCTCCAAGTTTCTTCTACCTATTTATATGAGAATTATTTTACAGCAACATCTGGACTGCTACAGGATCAAAATCTTATATAAACTTTATATAGTTTATAAACTGCCTGTTCATGCAGCTGAAAAGACTAATGGATAGGTACTATGCTAATACTGCATCAACAAACTGGTTATAAATTATACACAGACTTAGATATTGAGCCTAGGGCATTCTAGTATGAAATGGTATTACCAAATCATGGTTACAACATCAATAAGTTCTTTTGAAAACAAATCTTCATGTTAGTTCATTAACTAATAAGTTGCTAAAAATTCTAGCCTAGAACATAGTTGTAAAATATTAGGACAATACACAGATTTGTTTTGTCCTTAATTGATGTTCACAAAGGTACAAAAATAAATCATGATATTCAATAATATAAACTATTTATTCAAAAT